CGACGCGAGGAAGAGAAAAAGACGGGGAAAAGCAGCGGAAATACGCGGGGCGACGGCTATTTTACAGCTAAAGTCTTCGATATCAGTTCATCGCGGAGTTGGCCGTGCGCGTGCCAGCGGACGATCCGCGCACAATGCACACGGTGCAGCACGGTCTACCTCGCTGTCGCGAGCAGTCGATACCGCAAGTAGAACGGTGGATCGAGACACTGTCGAGGCCTGTTACAGCTGCGTGCGGAAACGTTATCCGGATATTTTTCTTCTCTCTTTATCTCATTCTTGTGTTCCTCTCATATCAACACAGTGGACGCATCCAAGTGACATTTCCGAACGCAGCCACAGCCGGGCAGACTCCTCGGAATCGGCGACCGCGGCTTCCCGTCGTCGCCGTCTGGTCCGGGTCTCGCCCCGTTGCTGCCGCTACCCTTCCTGAGTCTGTCTCCGACTCCGACGTTCCGCGAGCACGTCGGATTACTTCCTCGGGCAGAGGAGCAAGCCGCGAGGCTGAACGAGTGAACTGGAATATTCCAGCGAAACGTCGGCGACGGATCCATGAGGGATTGACTCGCGGCATCACGTCAGCACCGGATCGAGCTTTTCCCCACGTCGCCGAGCCTCAAATATCAGATTAGTCTGGGTTTATTAATCAGTCTAACCTCTACGACTCTGCCAGTCGGTCTGCCGGAGGCTCAGCGAGGCGATCGAGAATCCTCGGTTGGATTCCGAAGAGCGCTACGATGCTAGAAAAATATTCGTTACTCCTTCTTCTCTTACAGAGCACACACGTGCAGGGCTGTCGCGTTGTCCACGACGCGTCGTCATGGCGAGTCTCGAATTTTCTTTCTTTCCTTCTTCTTCGCAGGATGAGAGCTCGACAATCGGATCGAACGGGGCCGCCGAGGGCGCGGGGTCAACGCCGCGCGCGCGATTCGCCGCGATTGGCTTAGACTACCGTTAAATACTACGCGCACGCTTAATTAATGTAGGCGGGTAATCAACTGAATCGCGGTCCAAGCGCTGTATAGGTGACGTGCGCGCGGTAACAGAGGTTACACGATGCGTCGCGAACAAATCTCTCTCTTTTTTTCTTCCCTCTCAATCAATCAATCAACCGAGCAAGCAAGCAAGCAACCAATCTACCAATCGATCAATAAATATCTCTTAAATTATCTTAAATTATTAAAAAGGAGGGGCGCTTCCCGTCTTACGCTTAAAGTTAAAGATAACATCGCGCAGAGTAGTTACACAGATTAGATGCTTACGCAAAAAGCTTACAACGTATAATATGCTCACGGTAATAGTGTACGTCGAATACAGCGCGCGTATGCGCTTACCCCGTTAATATGCGTATATTAATTAGTGTTAATCCTGATTGGACCTCTCTCTCTCTCTCTCTCCTCTCTCTCTCTCTCTACTTTCGTGTCCCTCGCGAGACGCTCGTGGTCAATTCGGCGCGACAATAAATTAACTTGTTAAATCTGTAATCGGTAGATCCCCTCCCTGCCCTCCGCTATTGAAACGCTGCTATCGCGGGCTGAACAAAATTTGAAGCCGTGTGCTGTCGAAAAGATACGGCTCCTCCTCCGCTTTCGGTGTGCGTCACGGCGCTAATCTGTATCGAGGAAATGAACGAAGTAACGAGAACAAAGGAAAAGTTGAAAATCTCCTCCCTCTGCCGATCCCGCTCTTTCCTCATTTTCCTCGGATCTTCGACACTCCGACGCCTTGAAAATCGCAATTTCCCGTCTCATACGGAGGAGGTTTTTCTGTCCTACGGCCCATAAATACGCATCGATTGTTCGGCCGTTCGAATTGGCTATTTCCCTAAAGGTCCGTAACGCGTGTGTCGGTATATACAGAGAGTGTGTGTGTGTGTGTATGTGTGTGTGTGCGGCGGCTTGATACACACGTAATGGTAATCAGGAGGTCGGATCATCCGTGTGTATATGTGTGAGATACATTCTTTCTTGCGTTTTCTCTTTTACAGCGTAGAAAATATATATAGGCGCCACAACGATACCGCTGCACGATTTTTCGCAACACTTTCTTTCGCGCCGAGAGACAGTCCGTCGAATAAATATTAAAAGCGCGAGTCACGGAGTGTTTCGCACACAAACGGGCGAATTTCGCGTCGCTCCTCGCGACGCGCCACTTGGATGAAACACGCTCTCGTGAGTCACTGTCGTCGTGAGAACAGACAAATTATTTATTTACACGTTACACATTGTTTTACTCGCTCGTACAAGAATAGAGATGCGGCGATACGATTGTGGCATGCGATTGCTTGCGATTGATATTTTTTTGGCTTCAACCGATGAAACGAGTTCCCGCTCGAATAAATAAGTTCGCTCTATTACTACACTTCGACTAGTCGGTCGAATAGAATAACTTTACATGCTATCCGCGCGCACGGCGACTCGGCGCGCTCCTCACGAACGTGAACGTCCGGACGAACGCGGGGATTCGTCCGGAACATGGGTAGCAACGGCCGTGGAGAGGAAGAGATGCGGAAAGAAAAAGGAAGGCGACGAGTAGCGCCTTCGCGAGAGAGGAAGTCGTTTCTGAATCTCCAATTTTACGGTCGTTTCCTCACCTTGCCAATTGGTCCGCCGACATATGGGCTCTCTCGCGACTCGCGCGAAGCCGTGCTTACGAGTGTGACCGCCAGGAATTAAGAAGGAGGGAGGGGGGAGAGACGGAGGATGACGCATTTGCAGAGTGATTAATCGCGTTCTCCGCGAGACTGACTAGGCGCGCGCGCGCGCGAAGGATCGGCCTCCTGCCTCTCCGAGGAACAAACGGCGACCGCAGGAAACGGAGGACGTAACGAGTGCTGGAGGTGGCTCTGACTCGACGCGAATAATCCTTGAACGATCGTCGTCGATCGTCTCGACACCGGACACGGCGCGATGAATCATATCAAACGCCGCGATCGACATTCCCGTTCTCTCTCTCTCTCTCTCTCTCTCTCTATGCCTTTCCCCTCGGCAACTCGTTAGATCCTTGTTTTTTCTTCCTACCATTCTTTCTTGTTGCTCGATGCGTCGCAGACAGGCGGGCTCGGCGAACTTTGTAAATTCGGGGCATGATCGATCGGTGCGCGGCCGCGGACGCGGCGACTTTGCGGCGAAGCTCCCGTTGCGGCGGATCGTTTGCGAGACGACGCGAGCGAAAGATCCACGATTGCCGACCCTCGCCGGTCGAGGAGACTGTCGCGATCCTTCCTTCTTTCCTCTCTCTCTCTCTCTCTCTCTCTCTCTCTCTCTCTCTCTCTCTTTGTCTCTCTTTCTTTCGGCCGTCCATGCGAATGTAAATGCGTATTTGCAATAAATGAGATTGCAGTGAGATGCATCCTTGCGAGCGGGCCAGGAAAGGGATCGCTTCAGGAGGAACCACGGCGACTCCTCCGACCGAGCGACCGACCGACTGACGTTTTCTCCGTCTTTCTCTCAGGGTCGGCGGCGCTCCTCTCGGAGGAGCCGGAAAATGCCCGATGACAACCCACTCCTCGGCACGAGTGCGAGCTGGCGACCACGCTTGATTCCTCGAAGGAGACGCGCGATCGCGTGCATCGCGCTGTTCGTGCGCCGAGGAGGAGGTGCTTATTACCGGCTCTCTCTCTCTCTCTCTCTCGTCTCCCTCTCTCTCTCGTCTCCCTTTCTTTCTCTCGCGAAGGAGAGGCAGGAACACGATGCAGTGATATTATCCTATTTCTAAGACCCTGATAGTTGCAGTATGTATTCGTAGCGGGGGTTTCGAGCAGGGCGGGGAGCGGGGGTGGAGCAGTCGATACTGTGTGCAACGCGCGGTACGACGCGTCTCGTCGCGTGAGCGGAAGCCGCCCTAGTGGTGTCGACGGAGCACGTGCGATAATAAAATATAATCTCTAGTAGGAATAAATACTTAAACGTACGTCATATATTACTCTTACAGCGGCAGGATTGTATTCGCGTGCACGGGACGCGACACCGAGAGGAAGAACGAACGAAGCGGTGGAGACGAAGTGCGAGCGTCACAGACTCGTTCCTGGCGAGACCTGGCGAATGTTAGCTCCGATGATGAAGAAATCATGCATTGATCATCCTGACGAGCTGTTGTTGAACGGTGTTCAGTCCGCTGGCTTGAGTTCCAACCGCGCGTGATCGCGCGCTGTCGTGACATGTTTCCGACGCACGCGACGGTCACGTTCGAATTTTAAGGATTTGATCCTCGCCGACGACCTCGCCTTCGTCCAATCGCGTCCATTTTTCCTCAGTGTGCGGGACACACTGTTAAAATTAATATTATTTAAGTGTTTAAGGTAGCTTTCTCTCCTCCCCCCTCTCTCTCTTTCTCGGTACATACAGGATGCGGCGAAAAGTGCAATCGAATGAAGGAGCGACATCTCGTCGGAAAAGATCCAAACAGCGAGCTTTTTTCCTTTTTTCCTTTCTCACAATTGTTTCTCGAGACTCTTCCTCTGGAGTTGCACCCGCTGCGAATCGCCAGTCTTCTCGCGCTCGCAGTCTCCTTCGTCGCACTCCGCATACACATGCATACGTTATGCTACATAAATACGTATAAATAACTGTCTCCTCTATCGGGACGCTACGGAGATTATCGTTATCTAAAGGATCGGAGAAACGCGCTGTACCGTCGTTCGAGTGCTGTGACTGGATCAATCGGGGGCAGGATCTAGACATACTTGTTTTCGGCCTATGCTACTCTAGGCGATTCTCATCATCGAGTCGTTACCGTTATCTGCTATGATCGCGTTATGGTAAAAATTATCGTAGCATGAATGCTAATCGTATTGCTATGATGAACGCTCGCATGGTCTACCAGCGCAATTTCCTCCTCCTCCTCCTCCTCCTTCAATCCTTATCATCTATCGACGACCGTCGGCGAACCGTGGCGCTGAGAAAAATATATACACAAGCGGCGTATGCAAATATATTTACATGGTAATACCCGGTGAAAGTGCAAGTGGTGAGCGTGCAGGAAAAAATAAAAAAGGATAATAAAAAAAAAAAAAAAGACCACCGCCGGGATATCGATAGAGTCCTCGACTGCGGCACAGTAAGGAGAGCTTTCCGCTCGCCGACGAATAAAATATAACGCTCGACTTTTATGGTCGCAAAGTCGCCCGGTTAATTGTCGCGCTAGACGAGTATCGAGTGTCTAACTTATCGAGGTCACGCGTAATTCTCACCTCGATGAAAACCGCCGGCTTACGCTACGAAGTATGTAAGACGAATTATTAATTAGCATTCGTAAGATTCGCAATCATACGCAAATAATTTGCCATCTCTACCAAAAGTCAAACGTACACCATATGCGATTATAAGAAATATTCATACGCTCACCACGCGCGCAAACACACAAACAAACACACACACGCGCACACACACGCACGCACGCACGCACGCACAACACACTTACCCTGAGTTCATGCCGAGTCAATACATGAAAGTGCGGCTCGAACTCGAAGATAAGGGAGGAAAACGACACTCCTTCTCTATTTGCACATGTTCTACTCTTGAATTTGACTATCGTCGACGTAGAAACGCGCTCGCAGCAACGCGCCTTTTGTTTCTTGATAATCATAATAATAATATTAGTAATATACGCCGAAAGTTAGCGCAGAACAAGTGCGAAAGAACTACGAGGAAAGCTAATCGGACAAGGTCGGACTCTATGTTACATATTATACACGCGCTTTGTTCTTTTTTTATCTTCTTTTTTACACAAGGTCGACCTTCCACGAGCCGCGCTGATTGTCGCACCGGACAAAGAGATTCAGCTGATATCATTCTTTTTCTTCCTCCCGCGCGGGCGGGCGGGCGCGCGTGTTCGAGCCGAGTCGCGGAGATTCCCCGTGTTAGGCCGCGCGGAAAGCGCGTTTCCGGGATTCCCATGGAGACCGAGAGTGCACGTCCACGAAGTCCACGGCGCGAGCTCCGCTCTCGAGCCGCTCCAACGCCGGGACGCGCCGCAATCAAGCCGACCGTGATCGCTAATTAATCACATATCTCGCATCACGGTCTCACGGTTCATTAGCGCAGCCGTGATACATGGGGACTGCGAAAAAGCCCGTAAAGCGACCCGCGCTCGATCCGGCAGGCCCGGCGGACCTTCCCGAACGGGACACAACGCGCGAAGTTGCCAAGTTTCACATTATTATTATACAATTGTCTCGCAACGCGCGGATGGAGAGTATCGTAAAAAATTCGGTGTTATACTTTCTCCCGTCGTAAGCATTCACCGGTTACTTCCCAGACGCGAGAGGTCCCCGGAGAGGCTCGAAAACATCCTGAAACGAGCTCGGACTGAAACGAGTCTCGAGAGCTTCTCGAGGACGATGTTTACGTTGGCGAAAGGATCTCTCGCGGGTCGTCTTCTCAGTCGGCGGCGATGCAAATAGAAATGTACCGGCGCGGCGCGGTCTCTCGCCGGTCGTTTCCTCCGATGCGATATTAATCGCCATCAGTCTCGCTGCTGCTGCTGCTGCTGCTGCTACATAACTAACGATCGGAAAAACTAGAGGAACAAGACACGATATCGCTTCTCGTCCGCTTCATGCGGACAGCCAAGAGGAATGATATCGTTTTATCGAGTTGAGATAAAATGAAGCGGATGGAGAGGTCGGGACAGGAAGAGACGCCTCTGATGGGCTGCGCGAGACTCGTTCCAGACATTTTGATAATAGTGATATATATTACGTTTCTCTAATTAGCTACTTCGTCCTCCTGTCACCTGTTGCCTACTGATTGTTCGCTGTCGTCCGATTGCGCAACCGCAAGATCCGAGAGGCTGAACGTTAGAATCTGATTCATCCCGTGTAGGGTGGCACCGGTGCAAACCTAGACACATGACTCGGCCGGTAGGCCCCTAATTTGCACACCCCCACCCGCCTAATCTCGCCTACCTACCTAGCTATCTAGCTCTACCTACTTCTACCTAGCTACCTACCCCTCACGCTAATAATTCTTATCCGTAGAGACGTGGGTCGTGGATTGTGGAGACGCTTATTGCAATTACTATCTACGAGGTATCCGCGCGAGGAGGAGACTTGTGACTTTGTTATTTACATGCGAGGGCCAAGTGTGTATCTGTCGTGTGAGTGTCTCTCTCTCTCTCTCTCTCTCTCTCTCTCTCTCTCTCTCTCTCTCTCTCTCTCTCTCTCTCTCTCTCTCTCTCTGTCTGTCTGTGTGTATGTGTGTGTCTTTTCAAACTCTCGTGATAAATTATCATGACTACACGGGACTATGTGTGTACGCGGTAATATTGCATCCAGTTCTATTATAACTTATCTTACGCGTTAAATGACCTGCGTTCTCCGTCGTCTCGAGTAACTATGTACAACCTTGAGATTACGCTGCAGCGTCTCGCGCGCGCGCCAAGACGGACACGCGATGCGACAAGGAACTCTGATTTGTAAAAATCGTCCTGCGGCTTGAGAGCGCCTACGGTCGGTCCCGAAGCAGCATTCCGCGGGCCCGAGACGGCCGGGGAATACGAGAGCGATGCGCGGTGAATGACACCGCGAGCTCGTGAAAATTCGTTATCGTCGCGACAGCCGTCGTTCGCGGAGGGGAATTCAGTCGCGCCCCGCTGACGCGCCCTGTCGTTACCGCCGCTCGCGCTCCGAGCGGGAGAATCTCTCGGAAGAATCCTCGGTGGCGCGTCTCGTGGCGTTCGGGAATAGCTGCTTGGAGACGGCCATGCCCGTACAGAGGACTGTTGAGAAAGTAACCCTCGGAAGGAATGGATGATAGTCGGTGAGCGTGGCAGAAAGGGTTTGAGGGTGGCGCTCGAAGGAAGGGCGAAACACGGGTCCGGCTTGATAAATGTCACTTGCAACTTGTCTCCAGTTGTCAAGACACTCGGAGCGGAATTTCGACTGAGGGATCTGAGCTTTCCCGGGCGAATCGCAAGATGAAGTTGCTGCCCGCAGCCGGAGCTTTAGAATCGTCAATTTAAGCGACTGTTTTGGAAGGAGTGAAAGTTTTACGCCGTCACCACGGCGTGGCGAATTGTGTGAGACAATTTTTCGACGATGACGAGATATCGTCGAATTCCGATGTCGCAACTCGGTGATCCTCTTCAGCGTTCGCTGCTCAGTCGCAATTCCGCCCGGGAAACTCCACGCTCTTAAACTTTAAACTTAGACTCTTATTTCACTTGACGCGAGTTTCAAGTAACGACTATCGATATATTGGCTGTGGCAGGGCTTTCTTCAGTCGGGGGTAGAAACTCTATGGGTGTCTAATTGCTTCCCGATGGCTTAGCTTCCGCTTACGAACGCCATCGGTTCATCTCTCTCCCGTTCGCGCCGGCGACGCGCGCGGTGTCAGTGTCGGTGTTGGTGTCGATGTCGATCTCACCCCGACATCGCTCTGCGCCGTCGAGGTCTGGTTACGTTTGATCCGCGACGAGATAAAAGGACAAGAAAAAGCACACGTGAGCGCGTGCTGGCAAACGAGCGAACGAACGAACGAACAAACGAGCGAACGAACGAACGAACGAACGAACGAACGAACGAACGAACGAACGAACGTGTGAACGTGCGAACGAACGAACGAACGAACGTGTGAACGTGCGAACGAACGAACGAACGAACGTGTGAACGTGCGAACGAACGAACGAACGAACGAACGTGCGAACGAACGAACGAACGAACGTGCGTGCGAACGAACGAATGAACGAACGAACGAACGTGCGAACGAACGAACGAACGAACGAACGTGCGTGCGAACGAACGAACGAACGAACGAACGAACGTGCGAACGAACGAACGAACGAACGTGCGTGCGAACGAACGAACGAACGAACGTGCGAACGAACGAACGAACGAACGAACGAACGAACGAACGAACGAGCGAGCGAGCGAGCGGGCGACTTGGTAACATCATCTTTCACAGAACTTTTATCCAACGGTCTCGCCGGACCACTCGCATGATTGCCCTGAGTATTGTTTGTACACGTGTAATATCTACAGGTCCTTCCGCGGAGTTTGTGACCAAAGAGGGCTTTTTCTCGCAGGCGTAGCACGAATAAAAGCTATGCGAAGAGCTCGTCGCGCTCAATAATATACTAACTAATCTCATCGATCGAGCGGCACGTCCTCTAAGTTTGGTACGTTACCAAAGTGCTGGAAACCGTTCTTGAAGATTCGCCCGCGACTGGTGCCGGCCTTCATCTGGTCGAGCAGAGTGACATTGTCCTCAAAGTCCTTCACCCAGCGGGCGGTCTCGTTGCCCCAGTGAAACCGTATCGGCGCGGCGTGATGGTAGACCTTCTTGATCCCGAGGCTGCGTATCTCGATACCCTCGTCCGAGTGGTAGAAGGACTTCTCGCAAAAGTCCTGGCCGAGGAACGGCTCCAGCTCGGAGACGATCTCCATGAAAGTGGGCCGGTCGCTGGGCCGCCACTTGAAGCACTTCTCCATGATCTTCTGTATGTTCTCGGGACAGTTGCGCGGCACGTTCAGCACGCCCTTGTGCAGCACGTAGTTGAGCACTTCCTCGTTCGAGAAGCCCTGGTACGGGATCTCCGCGAGGGTGAGTATCTCGTAGAGCACCACGCCGAACGACCACACATCCGAGTCGGACGTGAACACGCCGTCGGAGAGATTCTCCGGCGCCATCCATCGGATAGGCAGCAAGCCCTTCTTGCCGATCTTGTAGTAATCGGTCTCGTAGATGTCCCTCGCCATGCCAAAATCGCCGATCTTGCACACGAGGTCCTTGGAGACCATGCAGTTGCGCGCCGCTAGATCACGATGCACAAACTTCTTCGACTCCAGATAAGCCATGCCGTCGGCGATTTCCGCCGCCATGCGCATTATTCGGGACGCGTTGGGCACCATCTCCGAGTCGCGTATGCCTCGCAAATACGTCTTCAGATCGCCCTTCTCCATCAGTTCCATGATGACGAACGGCGGATTGCCGATGGAGACCACTCCCAACAGCTTGATTATGTGAAACGTCGAGAAGTTCTTCATCACCGAAGCCTCATTCAGAAACTCGTTCTTCTCCCGTTGACTGGCGCTCTCGGAGATCGTTTTGATCGCCACCTGTGTGCCGTTTAGACTACCGCGGTATACCATGCCAAAGTTGCCGAGGCCGAGCTCCTCCAGGATCTCCACGTTCTCCCGCGGCACCTCCCAGCTGTCGACGATGTATTTGGTCTCAATGTAATCCGGGTTCACGCTGGCGATCAGTCGCTCCTGCTTCCGCCGCCTCTGGTTCTTCACGACGAAGGCGACCACGAGCGAGCCGAAAAACAGTATACCGCAGATCCCCCCCAATACCGTCAGCAGTACTTGATTGGTGTCCGACAGACCGACGGAGAAGAAGACCACGGTGGTGAAGGCGCCGTCGCCCGCCAACGACGTCGAGCGCATTCTCAAACTGTACTTGCCCGGGCTGAGATTCCTGATGTAGTGGCTGTTGTATCTACTCTCCCGACGACGGCCCATCGTGTACGGTATGCACTCGGTGCTCTTCTTCGCATCCTTCACGTCCAGATTCGTGTACTCGATGGTGTACGAGACGGTGAACGCGTTCGGGTCCCTCACCGACTCCCAGATCACCTCGACTATCGTCTCGTTGCTCACGTGAACCCTAACGTCTTTGATGTCGTCCGCGTCCGGTCGTTTCTTTGTCCTAGTGTTGGTGTACTGTATGGACGAGCACATTGGTACGTTTTCCACCATCACGCCGCACGCGGCGATCGTGATGGTGTACAGGGAGTAATGCTGTAATTCTTTCAAGAGGTGCGAATTGTTGTGTGCGCTGACGTTGTACACGAACGCCTGATTCTTCTTCTGCTGATTGATCGCGACGCCATTGTCCGCGGTGATCGCAGGGTCAACTATTGTTTTCCGCTTCTCTTGCAACGACGTCAAGGAAAGGTTGTTCGTGAGCTCGTAGAATCCGTTTTCCGCGGAGTTGTAGTGATTGAACACGCAGTAATCCTTCCAGCCCGGCGACAGGTGACTGATGGTCATGTTCCCGTGGCAGAATACCTCAAAGTGCTTGGAGAAGGTCGTGGTCTTTGCGTTCACGTCCTTGGAGCAACAGGAGACAGAATTTCGCGACGGCATCTTGACCGTTACCTCTTCCTGCACTACCGGCACCTCTTCCTCCTCTACCTCGTTCACCAGCGTGTCGTTGCAGTAGTCGCGCGACGCGATCAGCTCTTCATCGTCCAACTGAATTTCACCGGAGATCATGTAGTAACCGATCGGGCCGTTCGGATAAACCGGTGGCTCCCACTTCAGCAAGATCTCGCTGTCGCTGATCGCACTGGAGATGATGTTCGTCGGTACCGACGGTATCGCGCTCTTCGTGCGGAAGAAGATGATCTCGGACTGACCCACCGGACTGACGAACGCTTTATCGTTCCTGGCGGTGAATGTCTTCACGTACGCGGCATACTTGGTGTACGGCTTCAGGTTGGCGATATGCTTCGAGACGGTGGAGCTCCAGCTCGGCACGTCGACGTCGACGACCTGCCACGTGTTGTTGCTGCAGGCGGTTCCCTCGTACGAGATGTTGGTGTTCTCAGTATCTATATAGCTCAGCAGGTAGCTGAGAAGCTGTTGGCCCTCTTGCGCCTTGTAGCTATCCCAAGTGAGGACTACGTGGTCAGCGGCCTCGTTCTTCACCGTGATGTTTATGTTGACGATGTTGCAGGCGACCTTGTAGCCGTTCGACTCTGGCTGCACCTCGAGATTCGTAAAGTTGGTGATGTTCACCATCTTGCCGAGCTGCTCGATCTTGGAGAGACAAAGCTTCGGATTGTAATGAAAGAACAGTCTGCCGTTTTCTATCTTGATCTTCTGCATCTGCGGGAACAGAGCCGAGAGATTCGGATTATCCAAGATCACCAGGCTGCCATTATTGATGTCCAGGTTCTCGCCTTTGATTACCTTGAGCTTCTTGAAGAAGCTCAACGACGTGATCGGGAAAGAGTGCGTCACCTTCAGGTACGCGGTGATCTCTTCGATCTGGCCAAACGCATCCGCCAATTCGTTCATTATATTCGGATTGCCGTTTCTAATTTGGAACTCGAGCGGTCCCCTCACCACAGTAATGCCACGGAAGCTCTGGGCGTCCGAGATGTGGCGTATAATGGCACCGTTGCTGATTTTACGGCACCGACCTTTGCACATCCGGCAGATTGTCGCCTGCAATGCGAACAAACAAGGAGAAAGTCACGAGAAGCACTGTGCGCGAGAGAGCGCGCGCGCGCGTGTGTGTGTGTGTGTGTGTGTATGTGCGAGGCAGAAATCCTGCGTAATTACAACATTAAGTATGAGCGACGAAGAAGGTCACCGTACATTTTTCTCGTCGATGTCATCCTCGAAGCCGTCGGGGCACTGAGTGACGCAGGAGCCGTTGAAAGGTCGCCACGTGTGGGTGCTCTCCAGTTTCGGGAACCTCTTGATGCGATTCATCTTTTGGCACTCGTCCGGCGTGATGCATCGTCTCGAGAGATACGCGTATCTGCCGATGGAAAAGGTTGCAGCGCGGGAACAATGTGAAGAGAGAGAAGCGTTTCTCAGGGGACAATTTCAACTCGCGGTGACTCCAAATCTATCGTGTTTATTATTTTATCTACGTGTCACATTCGTGAGAGGTGATCTCGCTTCTCTCCCCGTCTTACTCTATTAGAAATACAAAGTTCGCCAATATCGCGCCAGTATTCTTACAAAAGAGAGAAAGAGGGAGAGGGAGAGGGAGGGGGAGGGAAGGAGAGAGAGGGGGGGAGAGAGAGAGGGGGGAGAAAGAGAGGGGGAGAGAGAGAGAGAGAGAGAGAGAATCACTTACAGATTCGGCGGGCAGTTCTCCACGCACTTCCCCTCGTGCCGATAATGCTTGCACACGTAACAGTCGCTCTCGGTCGGCCCGTAGCACTCGCCGAGGCACTGCGGATGACATTTCGGTCTCGCTATCTTCTGGCAGTGTTGGGCGGTCCAGCAGTAACCGCCGGGGCACTGAGAACATCCTGTCGGGACACATTTCCAGGATATCGTTACACCTCGCGAACGCTTTTCCAATTCCCCAATGTGGTTCTCGCGAGAGACAAGAGTCAAGTCGACAAGAAATAAGGAACGATCGAAGAAAAAGGAATCCCCAGCCGGCGGCGGGGGAACAACGAATCAACAAGGAAACAAGAAGAAGACGTCTCATCGTTCTCGCAAGGCGCATGCAACACTCGGGACACAGGCGTTACCTTTCGTGTGCGGGCAGTTCTGCTCGTTTCTGTTGTCCTTGATAAAGTTCTCACCGGCCGGCACAATCAGGCTCCAGTTCAAGGTGTTGGTGAAGCAGAGCGCCGGATTCTTCTCGATCCGCACGCCGCCCCGGGAGATCTTGGTCAGATTGATGAGGCCGATCTGGAGAAAGAGAAAAGGAGATGGAGAAAAGTTCCGCGGGCGCGCGCAGGATTAGGCCGCGGAATCGCCAAGTCAGAGGTCGAACGGCCGCTTAATTTGATTGACTGATTAACGTCACTTGACCCCGGGCGTCGCTTTAACCGGGTCCCACGTGCAGACCGGGCCATACCTTCGGGTCGGACGAGAGAGCGCGACGGCGGCCGATGCTTAATTCGGCGTGGGAATGGACGATCGCGCGAGATGCGAGCGCGCGACGGCGGCCGCCGCGCCGTCACGCACGTGCGCCCGAAGAAGATCTCCTCCTCTAACGTGCTTTTCTCTTTCTTATTATCTCCCCTCTTTCTTGTCTTGTGCCGTAGATAGATACCGTTATCCGGCGCAGCGCGCCGATATTAAATTCAACAAACTCACGGGCAGACCGCGAACGAACGTGGTTCGCGATCGTTCGTTCGACCGGCGAGATCTTTTACGATTCTCCCCTCCCCCCCCGCGTGTTTTGTTACTCTCTTTCTTCCAGGATGACTCGGTGAGAATATAAACTCTCCGTTCCGGGCTTATCTCAGAGCCACGTAGATTGGAATTAGCGTCCCCGAGATCTCGCGTGTTTTTCTCTCGGCGGCGAGAATGCGCCTCGCCGCGCCGGCGCGGCGGGAAAGGAGGCGAAGGCGGGTGCGCGGCGCGGCGATTCTTACCTCCTGCAAGCTCGTCATCTCGTAGATCATGAAGGCGTAGTCGGTGAGGAGGATATTGCCTCTGATGACTTCCAGATTCGGAAAGAGCTTGCTGAGGCTCTTGAGGCCGTCCACGCGGTACAGCAGGAGGTAACCGGTGATCTCGCGCAGCTTCGGGAAGCTGATGTTCTCGAAGTCGGCCTCGGTGTTGTTCTCGATCAGCACGATCTGCAGGAAGCCCTCGATCACGCGGCAGTCCTTCAGTATCGAGAAGAGGACCACGCTGTTCCTGACGTCTATACTCTGGCAAATGCCGTCCCCGATAGTCACGTTCTTGTGCGAGTGCCCCTTCTCCCGCGACTCCTCGCTGGACTTGGCGTGCGACTTGGGCAAATTCGACGACTGACTAGACTGCTGATTGTTCTTCGACCCGACCTCGGTGGACCTGACACAATCGGGCGGGATTTCATTCATTTCTGTCGCGCTGCGCGATCCATTCGTATTCGTCAAGCGCCTCCCTGCCTCTGCGGCTCTTCCGCTCCTGATGAGGAGGATATCGCGTATTCAGCGGGAATTGCAGCCGCGAAACTAGTTTCCCCCTCCCCTTCGATTCATTCTCTTCCTTTCTCTCGACGTGAAACCGTTTAAAGCCGACTTTGTGGTTAATAAAAAGCAATATCGAATAATAATAACGAATATGCAATATGCATGTACATGTGTTCATATTCCGCGAAATTTGCAGCGCCCAAAGGGACTGTGCGTCGGCAGAGGCGCGAGAGCAGGCAGGCAGGCAGGCAGGCAGGCAGGCGGGCGTTTTGCGCGGCACGGAAAGGATTAATTTCATTTAAACAAAACGCTCTTTGTGCCGCGAATACCGCGAATTCAAATTGAGCGGGAATTAAATTAGCGATTACGTTAGAGACCCAAAGCCGCCAACAAGCCCAATTAAGATCAAAGGGGCAATTCCAATCGCGGCAACGCGCGCGCGCGCGTGCGACGGCCCGACGTCGTCGCAGCGTTCCGCCCGACGACGATACTCGTAACACAATTCGAGAGGACTAATTAGCGGGGATAAAATCACTCGATGTCGTGTTTAAATAAGCGCCGAATGAGAGCGCTCTGTCTCCCGGCGAGCTTCCACGCGCGTCTCGCGGAGAGACACTTTCTTTTCATCAATCGTGGATTCCCCTCCAATCACGAAAGAAACTCGCCGATGTGTACTGCGCGCGCGCGCGCGCGCGTGTGTGTGTGTGTGTGGAAACAGAAGGAAAGAGGAAAAGTACATACCTGGAATTATCGATCGCCCTGTTGTTTCTGTAAGGCAACTTGTCCGGGATTTCCGAGTAGAAGTCGTTGGCGGCCGACGAACCCCGGTCGTAGTATAACTCCTCCGAATCCTCCTCCTCCTCCTCCTCCCTCGTCCTATCCGCGTAATCGGGCTCGTACTTGCCCTTGGCGCTTTTATCCCGGTGCTTCGTGGCCGCTTTCGGCCACCTTCTCCCTTGGCAGAGCGCCAGGCCCGCCACCGAGACGCACAGCAGAACGATCAGCAGTGACTTTCCCGTCCTCATCTCCTTGTCTCATTGAACACCGAGCTGCTGGATCCTCCCGTTGAACGCTCGCGGTGCCTCTCCCCACGTGCCTGCCGCCGACCACCACTTTCGCCGTTTCGTCTGCTTCGATTGATCGATGATTGGATAAAATCGACCTCGTCTGAACTCTTCGTCTGTGTCTCTCTGTGTCTCTCTCTCTCTCTCTCTGTCTCTCTCTCGCTCTTTCTTCCTCTCCTCCGGTCGCACTTGCCGCCCACGCACCGCTCGGTCGAACACTTTAGACGCCACTCGGAGACGTTCTTGTCGAGGCGACCCGCCGGCGATTAGAAGGCTGGCCGAGACGAGCGGCCCCGCGAGAAGCGTGCGCTCTTCCGCGGCCGGAAGCCTCGCTGCTGCTGGCTGGCACAGCGCCGCGAGATGTGTCTTCAGAGTAGCTCCTCGTTGAGGACCAAGTACTTCCGGTCCTTCATAATTTCGACGCCGCGCCGTAATCACCTGTCGAACAGAAAGATCGCGCGTTTCGCTATAGATGCTGATATGAACGCGAGTCTCAAAGGTGTGCGCAGCTCGCTTCGCGTGTCCCCCCCGTCCCCCCCCCCACCTCTCTATCACGCAGTGATTCGATCACGAGAGTTGAGTGCGCAGGAGCGCACAGCTCGTGAACACTTTTCCGTCCGCGAGGATTTTTTCTTGCCGACCCGCTCGAGGAAGTGAAAACGCAACAGCGGCAAGATGAATGCGCGTTCGCGCGCCATGGTGCTTAATTTAATTAAGCAAATTTGCATAGGACGCTCGCGCACGCGAGAGCAGAGACGACCGAGTGTGTTCGCTAATTAAGAGCGCATGAAAACGCGGCGACGGTTCTAAACTAGTTTGCAAATTAATACGGCGACGTCAAATGCGCGAGCAGGCAGAGCATCCGATGATAATTCCGGCCGATACACCTTTCCCCCCACCCCGACGACGACCCACGTCGGCAGGAGCCAGGAGGAGGAGGATTCGCGCGCCAACGCGGTTCCTGGAACCTCGCGCGCTGCCCTCGTAAAACGGTCGTCCGTCGTTAAGTCCGATAAAAAGCAGCTTCGTAAAAGCCGTCGTAAAATCCGCCATCGCGCCACAGCCGCAACGACGTATCGCCGTTCGACACACAAACGCGGAGAAGTCGCAATTCCTGGCGGCTCGCCTGACGTATTTCTACGACGACGTGGAAATCGCCAGCAGCAGCAGCAGCAGCAGCAATGCCGCTTCGCCGCGAAACGCCGCGCCGGAGTGATTTCCTCGAGGAAAAGCCATTCTTCGCGAGCGCGTGGGCGCGGTGAAGCCCACGGAGGTTTGTTCGCGCGTTTTTCCTCATTTCCGACACGTCGTAACCCGAGCACGGGGGTCGACGTATATCGGGGCGTCTCCCAAGGATCAGCGGCTAAATCAAGTCGGCCAGCCACCCACTCGACCCTCCGCCGCCTTCGGCCATCTCTCGGCGGCGGCGGTCTCTCTCTCTCTCTCTCTCTCTCTCTCTCTCTCTCTCTCTCTCTCTTGGCGCATGACGTCGCGGAAACGCAGAAACTGCGATTTAGTCTACATCGCGCCGTTTTGGCGCAGTTTTGACAGCTGCCGTTCATTATTCATGCTTCGACGTTCTCACGCAGTGAGTCGCAGGAGCTGGTGTGCGCAGAAAAGAAGAACGAAGAGAGAGAGAGAGAGAGAGAGAGAGAGAGAGAGAGGGAGAGACAGAGGACACAAAAATTGAAATCTCTCTCCGCGGAGGGAGATCGATCGGCGAATGAACAGTCTCGCGCGCGTTGACCGGACGTCGTAATCCCGCTGCGGTTTCGTCACGAGGCCGAAATACCGACGCGACCCTCGGCGCGCGCGAATTCTCTCCTTTTAATACTGCGCGCGCGCGAGCTTCCTCACCATCGCCGAAGATAACCCGCTCGCGCGGTCCGTCTGCCGTCCTCGGTCGGCCGCGGCGGTGCAAATATCTTAATTCGTCGTATAAATATCGCGATAACGATCAAAGGGGCAGCGCGGTGGGGGGACGGGAGGCCCGGGAGACGCGGGCGCGGAGAGGAGAGCCTCCGCGCCGGCATCTCGTCGTCGTGCTTGGGCCGATTAAAGGCCGGATACGCGCACGATACAACACGAGAACTTCGTAATGTCCCACGATAAGCCCGCGCTCGAGAAGCGGAAGAATGTTGAAGTTTGTAAGCCCATTTTTTCTCTCGATAGTCTGCGCTCTCGCTTTCTCCCTTTCTCTACTCCTTTCACGAGAGCCCGGAATTAAAGGGCTTATTTCCAGAGATTCGATTCCCGCTGCGGGTTCATCTTCTTAAGCAACATAGATTGTACTTTGCGACGGCGGCAACCGGGCCGTGCGGGGCCGGGGGCGGGAAGGGGAGCTCCTTAATGAACTTGCGATGAGTAAAAGCTTGTAGCCTGTGTGGTAATACAGGTTATTGCGGGTAGTTTGATCTCTGTTTGTGCAACGTTACGACGTTGCACGTTGTCATTTTCTTTTTCCTTGCGAAGCGAACGTCGATCAACACACGCCCGTTTCTACTGGTTATTTTTTAATGCTCGAGAGCGTGATTCGTCGAATTCGCGGCGGGCAAATGCGATGCGTACCCCGACGTGCGACGGAGCTCGTTTCATCGGCTGTATATTTCATTTGTTGCAAGCGGTTGGTTGCGTATTTCAAACAGCGGCGGTCCAAATTCGTCGACCGCCGATAATCGTCGACACGCGATTTTCAACTTCTATCGGAGTTGTCAAGGCGGCGGAGTTTTCGAAAGAATACACTGTGCAAGTTTTTTCACATCTTACTTTTATTCCACGTATCGCATCGAATCGCTCAAGTGCGTCCCTGTACAAATTGGAGCAATTTTTTACGGGAGATTACGAGCCGGTCATATTTTATCGACCGGTAATTCGAGTGTTAATCCGCGGACGCGTGTCGTGTTCGGCCGATTCTCGATGCTCGATACAGCGGCGCGCGCGATCGGACTTCTTCTCCCTACCTTCCGACAATTAGAATTCATTTTACTCTCGTTACATAAATCAACGTCGAAATCGACCCCGGTGTCGGCTCGACTTCTCTCATGGCTTCCTCTCTCTCTCTCTCTCTCTCTCTCTCTCTCTCTCTCTCTCTCTCTCTCTCTCTCTCTCTCTCTCGCGCGGATGCAGACGTGGCGGCGGCGGCGGCAACGGCTGCTACGGAGAGTGTCGGGGATCCCAAACATCGTTGCCCACTTGCTTTTTTCGGTCATCTTCGCTCTACGGGACCACGAGCGCAAGCGGATGAAGTTAGATGTTGTTTTTGCCAGACGATGGAATTCCACACCGCGTAGCAAAATAGACAATTTGCCGTTGTCGTGGCCGAGCCGGCCGGCCGACCGGCGGCCCCACAGATCCGACAGGTATCGGGATGGAAGATGAATGGACGTGCCGAACTTCTCCACAATGTGTCCGCGCGATAGATCGGATGTTTCGGTGTAGTCGGTCCCGGTGGCGAAGTCGAAAGAAGTCGACTTTTTAGCCGGCGGTGGGAGTGACTGATGCGACCGGGTTCGCCGGGAGTGTGACAAGCAAATACCCTCGGAGTGCCTTCAGACATCGGAAGAATGTTTTCGAGCCGTCGCGTGCTTCGCGCCAACAGCCGAATATGCGTGCGTGCGTGCGTGCGTGCGTGCGTGCGTAAGTGCGTAAGTGCACGCTATCGGATAAACACGGCAAACGCGTCTTCGAGTAATGAACGTTTCATTCTCGGGACTCGGCTGTTACAAATGACGCAACACTCGGCTCGCCGCGCAATCTCGCGCTCTCAGTTGCAACAGCCGGACCGGCCGCGGCACGGCGACTCGCTTCTTATCAGCCGCTATTTTTCTCCGGCTCGTCGTCCAGACGGAATCATTCTTCCCTTGTCAAGGCGTTACATCGCGTCGATTTCCCGCGGTCGGTCGCAGCGGGTCTACCTTGTTTTTGCGGCTCACCGTTGGCCCCGCTGCACGCGCCGCGACACGCGCTGAATTTTCAACTCGGCAACTACGATTTTCTCCTCGACTCCCCAGGATCTTTTTATCGCGCACGTCCATCGGAATTCTCACGTCGCCCGCTGCCGCGCGGCCATTGTCCACCGAAGCCGTGAAAAACGGTATTTCTGCAGCGTGCGATCGCCGCTGTTGGCCGGGCCGAGAATGTTTTTGCCACATCCATATCCCTCGTTATTTCGACGATATTGCAGTATTGTACTTAGTGTGCGCGCCGGCGCGGATAAACGCGAGAGAGAGAGAGAGAGAGAGAGAGAGAGAGCACAACGGAAGAATGACGGGCGAGAAAATAGCAATAATGAGGAAGAAACTGTGACTGAGACTTACGATGCTGGTGCAAGCGATCGTGCGATAAGATCAACTTCAACGCCGTTCGCATTTTCGATGATAAATAACGGCAACTTTTTGCCACCGATGCATGCTTCCTTGCGCTCAGCCCCATTATGCGGCGTCGTCCTTTGTCGCTCTTTGTCTCTTTTCATCTCTTTCTCACTCCCTCCTCTCTCTCTCTCTCTCTCTCTCTCTCTCTCTCCGTCCTCCTCTTTCTCTCTCTCTCTCTCTCTCTTTCTCCGTCCTCCCCTCTCTCTCCCTCTCTCTCTCTTTTCCCTCGCATTTTTGCTCGCTCATTCCCCCTCGCTTATCCTCTTCAACTTTGTTTCTCTCTCCTCCTCTCTCGTTTTCTGACCCTCTCCTTTTCCCTCTTTCATCCCCTCCCCTGCCGTCTGCCTTTAATCTCGATTTTTCGCTCGACAGCCGCCAACGCGCGCGCTCTCCTTTTCTTTATCCCACGGAGGACCTCCGGGCTATTCCCTCTATCCCACTTTTTTCTGCACGCTTAGATATGGCCCATCGATTAATAATGGGCCTGCTTACAATGTTGCAGCGGTTTCCACGCGGGTCGTTTTACTCGTGCGATCGTTATTACTATGTTGCAGCCACCACCAGCGCGCGCGCGCGCGCGCGCTCGAAACCAGTTTTGATCCTGGCCCTATGGTAAGTTATATCCGACATATACTCGCCCGTGAATATAACGCGCGAACATTTCCACCGACGATATTCTCTCTCCTCCTCCTTCGTGTACGACGTCTGACACAGCGAATTCGGTCGGACGCATTTAGTGCGTACTTACAGCCGTAAAGGAGAAGAAGGAGGAGGAGGAGGAGGAGAAGAGCAGATTAGTACCTGCGGTACACTGATTTAGCCGAGTGCAGAAACGCGGTAGAAGCGCCTTGATCAACGAAACCTCCCCGTCGTGTGTTCCGCCGAAACATGTGATAACTTGCGTGCGTCGAGGAGCGTCTCGCTGATCTAACCACTTACGACCGCGTGTGCGATGTGTCTCTCTCTCTCTCTCTCTCTCTCTGTGTGTATGTGTGTGTGTGTGCGCGCGCCTGTATGCGTGTGTGTGTGACTCGCGAGCACCAGTCTTTCATGTCCGTCCGTGAGCGA